CAAGGTGGCGTTTTGGTACGGGTGGATGGATCTCGTCTTAAGTAGCAGAAAAATAATAAGGGGCTGGAGTGTGGGGATGTCGGGAGTGTTTTGTGGCGACACGCAAAGCTGCCTTAAATGCTGGTCTCATGCACGAGCTTCGTCAATTCCGGGAGGGCCAGATTATTGGAGCTGAGAAGCGGGGAGTTTCCGGTGACGGTGTTGTTGTCTCTGCTGTTGCTACTCTGCATCTGCGTATGGTTGGTTTGGCTCGGGTTGGCGTTATTGGATGAGGATCTATTGTCATTGGCGGTGGTAGTGGTTGTGGTTGTGGTGGTTGTGGTGGTGGTGTTGTAAATGGTATTATGATGGTTGTAAGCGTTGTTGCCCGGCCCGGAGACGATGAGCAACAGCGGCGATGCGGCGCTGTTGTTGATCCTTTGCGTCGCGTGGTCCGCCGCCGTGGCCGGGTCCAGCGCGCCCTTGCCCGCCGGCAACTTGCCGATGGCGTTCACCGCGGTGTTTGACGGGTCTTCGTCAATGTATGTGAAGTCAGAGAATGGTCGGGACCCGGTGTGGCTGCGTGAGCTGCGCATACTGTGTAAGCTGTGTAAACTATGGACAGAGCGACGCTCCTCCAAATCTTCCAGAGTCGACTTGAACGCTCTGATTACTCGAAGCTGCAAAAACAGGGAACAAGGACGTTCTAATCAGGAGAGCGAGGAGGTTAAGCCAGCGACACACAAGCACGCCCGTTTAATACCCGAACTGTGTCTCTATGTGTCTCTGTGTGTCTCTCTGTCGGTATGTACGTGACGTGTATATGTCTCTGTGTGTTTTATCGTACCCCAGTTTTTCGTCTGTGTACATATATATTGCGCAGAGTGTTCGTCATTTACCATCGGTTTTCGTAAACAGTAAACATTAGAAAGAGGAAGTTGCATATTTTACTAGCAATTCTTTGTATTTTTAATATTCTAGAATGCTGCATATTTTTGACACTGTATACAAGTGAAGACTTCAACCATGTACTATGGTCTCCAGTCGCAAAGGCAAAGAAACGAAAAACCAATGATACAAACGATCGCGAGCACGCTGTATACACGTGTACACAGTTCACGACCCGATCGTTCGTTTCCGGTGCATTCCGGGTGGGTCTTACGCGCTCTTACGGAGACACCGCGTGTACTATACTCGCGATACAGCTTGGATCTGCGCAAGATCTCCCGACCGACGAAACGCGACGTTAATCGAGTCGACCTCGGTTTAGCGTCGAAAATCTTCTCGCTAATCCGTGGAGCCTCGATGTGACCCGATTCGCGTCGCGTTTCAGGTGAAATTACGTATAGTTTCCATAGTCTATATAGAGTATATAGAGTATTTAGCTAGCTACTTCGTCGAATACACTATACATCGGGCGACTCGTGCTCGATCCAAGCGGTACCGCGTCGGAAACGTTTCGTCGAGTGCTGTCCGAGTGACGGTCGATCGGTGCAGTTTCGCGGTGCCGGCTCTCTTTCCCGTGGCGGTCGTATCGGAGGCTGATTCCCCGTGTTCGTGCTGTGTGTCCCGTTCTCTCGATCGGTGTGTGTCGGGTGGGCGTGTGTTTTCGTCGGTGCGCCTCGGACCGGCGCGATCGTTCGCCGGGGCACGGAGTTGCACGGCGACTTGCGTTCGGGGCGGAGGGCGAGCGAGCGGTGTGTTCGCTACTTCGCCTAGCAGTAGGCCGAGATAAAATAACAAAAGAGAGAACAAAAGAGAAAAAACGAAGAAAC